AACCTGCCCTAGCTCTACCACTTTTAGATCGCAAATTCTTTTTTTTTTTTTAAGTTTTCACTTTATGGAATTTGTCCCCATTACTTTGGGAATGAGTCTTTCATAAGGCCTCATGTTCTCCTGTTGTTCAGAAACTCTGAGCCACCTCTGCCTCCACAGTAGGTGGAGGATCAAGTGTGACACCGGCATCTAAACCAACCAAACGGCAGCTGCACGTCACGGGGGACACATGGCTTTTCCCCCAAGCTTGGTTTCCAAATGCCCGAGACTCTCATTTCTGGTGGTGTTACACCCAAACCCACCCTGCAGCCGGGGCAGCCCCGTAACACTGGGGACAGGCAGCCATCCCTGAGGTGACACTCTCACTGTGTCATGGTTTAGGCCAAATTGGCTACTGGGGACCTGGGGGACCCCAGATGGGACCGACAGATGCTCCCCTCTACCCCTCTTCAGAGAGAGGGGCAGAGGAGGAAAAAGAGACTTATGAGTTTAGAAGGAATTAAACTACTTTAATAAAATATTAATAATAAAATAAAAAGAAACTATGAAATATATACAAAACCGTATCAAGCTCCTGAGATGACAATCACGACACCGGCTGGGACTGGGGGAGCCCCAGGCCTCCAGGCTGGACTCAGTGACGGACGGGAACTGGATTCCGGATCTGCATTCAGGATCGGGCGGGATCAAAGGCAGACAGAGTCCTCCTCAGACGTCGGCCATTGAAGAAAGAGGGCTGACCCTTTGATCCCTCAGCCTTTATACTGAGCATGAGGCAGATGGGATGGAATACCCCACTGGTCAGTTTTGGGTCACCTGTCCTGTCCGCTCCTCCCCACAGGTGGGACCCCTCTGCGTTTTTCCGCTTCCGACCCTCCAACGGGGCACATACCAAAGCTGGTTGGCCTTGGGGGTTATAGCAATGGGTATAAGCAGGAGCCTCTCTGCACACCATGGCTGGGCATCAGCTATAGACATAGGTCTGATCACTCTGAGAGAGTGAACATTGTCTGCACAATATGCTGTTCATTTCAGTAGTTAGAGAGGCCCAGCTAAGAAGCGAAGTTACTGAACAAAACTGGTTCCGTTTTACCTCAAACCAGGACACACTGGTAGTCGTTTCTGCTGTCACCACCCTGAGCAGAATGTCAGACAGTGCTGGTACATTTGCAAATGAACACGCTGAAGGATTTCTTGTAAACCTTGTATTCTTCCATTACACATCACAATAGTACATATTGCCCAAAAGATTTGCCTTTGGCGCTGGACCTGTGGCACAGAGCTGATCGTGCTGGTGAGCGGCCATGTCCCACCTGCCTGCCCCCTTCCATGTTCCTCACACCTTGCCCTGCACTCCTCGCTGCTGCCATCATGGACACTCTGCCACAGCTGGTGCTACCGAGCCCAGGGGCCATCAGGGACCAGCGTGCCCACAAGGGTGCTCCCCCATGTCCTCTCGTGTCCCCCATCCCCTCAGCTCCTCCATGTCCACTCATACCCGCTGTCCCCTCAGCTCCCCCGTGTCCCCTCAGCTCCCCTGTCTCTTCACCTCCTCCATGTCCCCTCACACCCTCTGTCCCCTCAGCTCCCCCGTGGCCCCTCACACCCCCTGTTCCTTCAGCTCCATAGCTCCTCATAGCTCCTCACAGCTCCCGGCCCTTCATCTCCCCCG